CTCTAACCCTCTCCCTTCCTCTCTGTAAAAAAAATAAATTATATATATATATATATATATATATATATATATATATATATATATATATTAAAAATTCCTCATTAATCATTCATTAAATGGTTTTGGCAGCAATTGAAGATTGTTGCCTAGATGCATAGTTTTGCTGAATGAGGGTTGCAAAATGGTGATTTTTTAAATTCATTAATTCCTTCTCTATTTATGAGCAGGACATTTTCTTTAAAAAGGAGCTTCTCACCCAGCTGGCATGGTTCAGTGGTTGAGCATTGACTTATGAACTAGAGTTCATGGTTAGATTCCTGGCACATGCTTGGGTTGGGTTGCAATCTCCATCCCCAGTAGGGGGTGTGCAGGAGGCGGTTGATCAATGATTCTGTTATTGATGTTTCTATCTCTCTCTCTCCCTCTCCTTTCCTCTCTAAAGTCAATAAAAAAATCTATTTTTAAAAAAGGAGCTTTCCCTTATTAGCTATGTTCAAATATAGTCTGCACAGGAAAGTTACGATAAATACTTGAATATTTCTCTTTACTTTCAATTTTCAGGATAAGGGTTTCTGCCTCAATAACAATGTTGACCAATGATCTTTGAGTGTGTGTTAATTATGACTTATATATACCCTGTTTCCCCCAAAATAAGACAGTATCTTATATTAATTTTTGCTCCCAAAGATGCGCTAGGTCTTATTTTCAGGGGATGTCATTTTTCCATGAAGAAGAATACGGTACACATTTATTATTAAATGAAAATAAAAGAAATTTATTACCTGTATACAGTACAGTAGTATGGTAGTTGTCAACACAAACCAGACAAACTGTGAATCCTACAGTATCAAGAATTTACTCATTTATTCAATGACAATCATGTCATCATCTTCTGGAACATCATCATAACAATCCAATTCCTGAATTTCCTGGTGAATTTCTTGTGACTCCATTGCTTTCAGAATCAGTGGACCAAATCTCTCATGTTTAGCCTGGGGGGGGCCTTATTTTCGGGGGATGCCTTATATTTCACTCAGAAGGAAACCTATAAGTAGGTCTTATTTTCGGAGGATGTCTTATTCGGGGAAACACGGTATTTATTGCATTGTAGTTATTATTATTATTATTATTATTATTATTAGTGATCCATTGAGAGTCCCTTCACGCTTCCTCCTGAGTAGAACTAGAAATTTCCATTAGATGACTAAACAGGCAAATAACACCAAGAACATCAAGAGCCACTGTAATGGGATGACTGGAGGGAAGAGGTGTGGTTGCTAAGGGCCAACACTACTTACCTGGCCTGAAAATATGTGTTGGACTCACAAAAAAGCCATATAGTTTTCTCTTAGAGATTTGTTACTCCTTTACTTATGACTAAGTGATTACTTGGGTGTCTATGTTAACCTGGTCACATTTACTCTTCATTAATTTTAGCTCTTTATGAAATTTTAAATACTTTACTAGCCACTGCTGTCTACCTCACCCCACCCTGACACAATGTTGAATAGAGGATATAAAAGTGGACATCACTCGTCTTCTTTCCAATTTCAAAAAGAAAGCTTTCAAGTTTCACCAGAATGTACGAAGTTTGTGCACTCTCTCTTTATGTACACATACATGCATACACACATCTGTAGATACTTTTACTAAGCAATGACAAAGTCTCTAAGCTACAGGAGCTGCTAAGTTTAACTTGGTACTCCATCATATATTCAGTTGGTAAAGAGACAATGTCCCAAATGGATCCAGACAGTCTTACTTCTGACAACAAAAGCAAGCTGAGAAGATCAGCATGATGTCAACTCCATATCCTTATTCCCACAGGATGACAAGAAATCACAGGGAGAAGATGACAGATGACAGGAGCACTGAGTTGCTCTAGTACAGAGGAACTGTTCCCATATTATACCTAGTTGCTTTTATAACTGGAAGTTGTACCTTAAGGGAGGAAAGTCCCACACTTGACCAGAATGAGGCGGGGGGGGGGGGGGGGGGGGGGGATGAGAAACTGCCATCTGGCATCCCCTCTCAAGATAGAGAGGTGGTGTGGTGAGAAACAGTCTACACTATATTGACTATCTTGCTGTGTTCCAGGGAGGGTCACAGGACATTTCACCTAGATTTATGTGAGCTTACAGTTGAGCCTTGCCTATGGGGCCTATGTGGACATGTGCCAGGTTGTTTGGACCTCTAAGCAGAGTCATTCTACTGTAAACAAGAACAATCAATGAATATTAAGGGAAACTTGTAAGTGTATTGATACATAGTAATAAGAAATATATTTATTTATTACAATAAAATTATATTAGTATTTAATGGTTTCCTAGTCAAATTGTGTTTTTTAGAAATGCTCCGGTAATGGTAAATCAGGACTTCACCACTAGATGGCATATGACATTCATCATCCAATTGGTCAGTATGGAAAGTTCTTTCTAAGAGAGTACAAACCTAATTGTCATTAATTACAAATTGTGTATGAATTTTAAAATTTTATTTTAATTTTTTTTATCTCAGAAGAGGAAGAGATGGAGGGAATGAAGGAGTGAGGAAGGGAGGAAGACAAGGAGAGAGAGATTGCCATGAGAGAGAAACATTAATAGAAACATGATTGGTTGCCTCCTGCATGCACCCTGACTGAGGATTGAACCTGCAACATGGGTATGTGCCCTGACTTGGAGTTGAATCCGCTAACTTTTGGTGTACAGGACTATGTTCCAACCAACTGAGCCATAGCAGCCAGGGCAAAATATAAATGAAATTTAACTTTAAGTATAATTATTGTGCAATAATTTTTATTAAAGTATTTTCTAGATTTTTGATCAAATAATAGCACAGTAAACCCCTCAATATACTTAGCCAAGATTTACCAATTGTTAGCATATTGCTACATTTGTTTTATATTTATGATTTTTTAATCCAAAGCATTTCAGAATGATTAGTAGACATTATGGCACTTTACCTCTCAGTACTTCAACACGTGTCTTATAAGAACAAGTTCATCATCTTACATTATCATACCTAAAAACTATTACATTGATCTAGTATTATCTAATATCTAGAATATAGTTGTTCCCATAATGTCTTTTATAACTGTTTTATGTTCTATTCAGAATCCATTCAAAGATCACTCAATATATTTGGTATCATAACTCTTCTTTGTCATATCTTTTTAATTTTCTTTAACCTAGAGCAGATTCCATTTTTAAAATATTGCAATTCTATATAAATATACAAATGAACATATGTTTATATATTAAAATTTAATGTGTAATTGTTTACTTCCTCTACCCACTGGGAGTGCAATAATTTAGGCAAACAATGTAACAACCCTAATTATAAATGTTCCCCAAGACAGGTGAAATAAAATAAAAAGTATGCCTAGATGCAGCAATTCTATATATCAGGTATAATAAAATTCCATATTGAGATTTTGGGGTTGGTTGTTTATTAGATTATGAGCTTTTAGAAGGAGAACAAATTGTGTTTTGTTCATTTTTACAATTCCTGCCCCAGTACAGTATTTCGAATGTGGTGAGACTCTATACATGTTTGGGAACTGAATGAATGGTTCTCTCTCTCTTCTTTATTATAGTGAAATATATGTAACGTAAGAGTTGTAATTTTAACTATTTTTAGATGTACAGTTTAGTGCCATTAAGTACATTTATATTTTCACGTACTGTTCTTTTATAATAATTTAAGGGATATATTAATTGCAGAAAAGTTATTAAATAGATAACCAAAAATAAAAATAATTTAAACTCCCCTCAAATTCTACCATCCACAGAAAACTGAGATATAACTACTCTTAACAGTTTGGTATATACCCTTCCAGATTTCTTTATGTACATTTATTCCTATCCAAATAAAATATACAAGTGAACATATTATATATACTGTATAGTAATCTACTCTCATTTCCTTAACATATACTCAATATTTCTCATGTTAATATTTTTTAAAATATATTTTATTGATTTTTTACAGAGAGGAAGGGAGAGATATAGAGAGCTAGAAACATCAATAAGAGAGAAACATCGACCAGCTGCCTTCTGCACACCCCCCACTGGGGATGTGCCTGCAACTCAGGTACATGCCCTTGACCAGAATTGAACCTGGGACCTTTCAGTCCACAGACCAACGCTTTACCACTGAGCCAAACCGGTTTCGGCTCTCATGTTAATATTTATAGATAAGTGGGTTGTTTTATATCTGGTTATATTTCATATACTTTTTCATGTCATATACCTCCAGTAGACATACATACTGATGGTTAGGGGGTCTTGGTAACGGGACTAAGAATACAGATGAATCCCATGAATTTTTTTTTTCTCTCTCTAAGCACAGTGGAAAACAACACTAGGGTCTGGATTTCTAGCTGTGAGCCTCTGTGTAATTTGAGGATTGGGGAAGGGGTTGAGCATGTTTTTCTAAGTGTTATCTTTAGGTCAGGGAATGACAACATTGCACCAAGGGAAGGGACAAGAACAATGTACGTCATTTGAATGGAATGTCATTTAAAACCAACATATTCTGGAGAAATGTTACTGAATGCCTGACTCTCTGTATTACTTGCTTAGAGGGGGGAAAAAAAAAAAAAAAAAAGCAACGCATATTGAACAACACAATGGCAATGCTCACTACCAGAGACTAAACCTTGTTTGATGGGTAGTAGGACCACTGCAGAAAGAACACCATTAATGAGACTGTTGCTAGGAGACGGGAGAGCCAAAAGCCCATAGCATTGTAGGGGTTCCACTAAAAATCAAGGCAATTTAAGTGTGATTTGGATCAGAGGTTTAGCTATTAAAATCTGTCCTTTGATGAGCATGTACTTTTTAGTGTATAATGCTTAGTATGATTTTATGTTTTTGGAGGAATTTGGAGGCTAATCCCAAGGCATTTCATTTCTTTCCACAGAGCTTATCCCTTTTTCAAAGCACAACCCATTTTCCAGTGGCTGCTGCCCCTCCCCCCACACTTTTTCAGTGCTATAGCCTGGGAGCTGGTGCAGACGCAAAGCGCATGCTGCTGGTAAGTAGCCGAGCAATCTTTTGTAAAATAGATTCCCAACATATGCTTTTTAAAGCAAGTGACATGTTTAATGGAATAGAATAATACTAAACTGTGTAGGAATTTCAAATTCTAATCAGTAGCATTGGGAAAATGGCTTAATTATATTCTAAATATTTCACGGTCACTTTTCTAGTTTAAAGCTTGTGTCTTAAATGGTGAGTGAGTTGTTGGAAGAACATATAGAACCTTCCTCGTGATTCTGGTAAGATATTTTCTAAAATAAGCCTTGACAAAGATGTCACTAAAATGAGAAATTGCATTCGGAATGGTATTTCTGCTTTACTATGTTTGGATTGGACTTGACAAAAATGGGTTGTGATTCCAGATGTTCTCAGATCTGATTTCCTTTCACAGTGCGGAGAAAGCAGGAGAAACAATGTTATTTTGCAATGAGGAAAATGATATCATTTCTTTTTTTTTTTTTATTAATAAAATGATGTGACCGGATATCTGTACAAGAAAGAAAATAAGAAGGAGGGCAGCCTGTAATATTCAGATTAATTACTTCATGTGCATGATGAATGTGTGTTGAATGAGGAAGATTAACATTTAGTTTTGGGATGAAAAATCATGAAAAATAGATAATGAACCTGGCAATGGTAACTTTATTTTGAAGAGGATTCATTTGTATTTTTGATGTCAATTTGTATAGTAAAGATATAATCTTCCCATATTCCTTTCTTTGAAAAGGGATATAAGAAGGATAGCAGAGATTCCTAGCAACAAAGCTGTTTTGTATGTTTCTGAAATGTGTTTGGAAATGTGTATTATGTTTCCTGTCCCATGGAATTTCCTGTCCTGCAAGAAAAAAAAAAAGAAAGAATAGTTCCAGTGGTGGTTTTGCATTCCTTTGAAATTCAGATTGTTTTGACACTTCAACAGGAAGAAAAGAGAAAAAAGATATATACATTTTTGAGCTAAATGATAAAGCAACAATCCAGTAAGAAAAATAAAAGTGAAAAAGCTTCAAAGAAAGTCTACAAGATGGACCATTTTTTCAGTCTAAAAATGTCCGCTGCTAGCATGTTTTGCATGGGAAAAGGGGGAGAGTGGGTGGAAGGCAAAGGGAGGCAGTGTTGAACAGAGCACTGCGGCAAAGAGAATGACTGACGCAGCTAGGGACATGTGACCATTCTCTGGTGTAGCGAAGAAAATTTTCCAGGAGTCCATCTTGTATAAGGAATTCTGTACCAACTAACATGCAAATAATACCATAATTTGTATGTAGTACATAGTAAATTTGTTTTTCTTGATGCTCTATCAGTGTACATTAGTACATTTAGTCTTTGCTTTTTATTGTCTTCATTTTAAGGCTTTCTCTCTGAGCTTCCACCACTTTTATAAACTTATTAAAGTATCTTGTTTAAAATGGTATCTTTCACCTTTATTCATAAAAATATAATATAGCCATTGCAGAAAATTAGGAAAAATCTAAAATGACTATAAAGTTACTCGTAATACTATAATGTAGAGATAATTACTTTTAACATAATTACTGTTAGTTTCTCTTCTGTGAATGCATGCAAATAAATGCATAGTAAATATATTTATATACAAAATGAAAATCATAGGTACATATAGTTTCCGACCTGTTTTAATCATAAAAATGATATATTGGAAGAAATTCCCCATTATTTAATTTCACAAGAATGTGATGTTTTGTGGAGGCATAATTTTCTATTAGATAGGTGTTTGACTAATTGTCTAATTATTGTTTGTGAATATGTGCAACTTTTGCTGTTATAACTTAAGGAATATCTTTCCATATAAATATACTTGTGCTTTTCTGTTTTTCCCTTAGGATAAATTTTTAGATGTGAAATTTCTGGATCAAGTGGTATGAACCAATTTATTTTTTTCCCCTATCCCCAATTCCATACATATTGCCTAATTTATTTATCATATGTGATACAAACATTATTTTCCAGTTGTCTTTTTGCCTGTTGATTTTTAAAAAATAATTTATGGTGGTTTTATTTTTACATGTCACATGTGTACATTTTTAAATATCCACAACTAGTAAATGTTGCTTTTGCGATTTATTGTTTTCTTTGATGAGTATATTCACCTGTATTTTTCACTAGTCATTTCATTGTTTCAATTTCTACAATTAACTTTAATCATCTGAAATTTATTTTGGTATATGCTCAAAAGTATGGTCTAATTTTGTGCTGTTGGTCTTTTTTCCAAATAGGTCATCATTTGTTTCTGCATCATTTATTGAATAATCCAGCATTCTTCCACTGATTTGAAATGGAAACAATTGTTCTCTTGTTAGGTAGGGTGTAGCTTTCCACAGGTCGGCCATTTTCTTTCTACCTAAGGTGGTTACATTCCACAATACTACTCCTACCTTCTTAACAGCTTCTGAAAGCATTCCAATGTGTCATAGTCATGCTTATGCACTTCAAGAATTCTAGGCACATTCAGTTTCAGGCAGATGCTTTCAAACAGGATTTTAAAATTAATTACTTAAAAATTTTATCAGATCTTTTCTTACAAATTAAAATTGAGAAATCTGAATATAAATCACTGATCCAGATGTGCTTATTCCTTTTAAACACACCTGAATTCTAATTTTGTGTTAAAAAAAATACCCCTTAGGTTAGTGTTACTTCTAAGGTTCTTCCTTCAAACCTCTTTTTTTTTACTCCTCAAGTGCTTGGAGAATTAAAGCTGTCTGGACTCAGTTTCTGGAATTTTCTAAAATCTAAGAAGTGTATGAGAAGCAGAAATAATGCTTGCCAGCCTGTTGTTGGTAGTATTCTGATCTAGGGGTTTAAAGAGGGCAGAGTGAGTCCCAGTCCATGCCACCATTGTCACCATGTGTTGTAGATAGGGACACACTGCAATGATTCATCTCTTCATTGCAGGTGGAAGGCTCAAGCATAAAACATTGAGTCTTTTAGTGGAAGATGGTTTAAGTGTACTCACAAAAATATTTGACTATTAAAGTCATCTGCCACTCACTGTTGACCCTCCACCCTGTCTCTAACACATTCTTATTTCTCTATTGACTTCTGAACTGGCCTCTAATCTTTACTGATTTTGAAACAAAACAAGGAAGCAGGGATGGGAGGATGGCTTGCCTACCCTTATTGCAGGGGGCTCTTTAGCTCATAACCACGGCCCCAAGCATTTGACTTGCTGCATTAGGCTATGATTTGTTTGTATCTAGAGACTGGTTTCCCTGGCAACAACAGCTTGCCAGAGCTTATACACATTCCTTTCTCTGTAGTGGCGGAATGCAGCTGGGAAGGCAAAGGAGGAGTTTTTGGGAACAGAGTCACTGAAGGAGTTATTCTGCAATCATGATGTTAGTTTTTCTGGGCTAAACTGCCATCCTGATTGTATATAGAACATTGAATATTTTTAATCCTTGGAAGGTTTTGAGTGACTTCCTTTTTCATCCTCGCAAATTACCTCTTCTCAGTATGCCACCAGTGATCATGAAGTCTTCCTAATGTTTTATGTTACGTACATTCTCAGGGGCCTAAGGAAATTCATAGTAATGTGATCACAGGAAACAGACTGCCTGGTTTCAAACCTCTACCAATTACAGTTATCCTCTCTGTACCTCAGTTTCCTCGGATATAAAATGGGGATAATAATAGCACTTTTAGAACAGTGTTTGGTAATAGTCACCATTATGCAAGTGTTTGTTATTATTATTTATTGATATTAAAGGAGACTTGCCCTAAACAAGGTTTTCACTGCCATGTACAACCTCAGCTTCTAATGCTTACTGGCTAAATCACACAAATACACATTTACTCATACCTACAGCACACAGACTCTTCCTATGGCACACAGACACCACAACAAAACGACTTGGCTCATAGCATACACACATTTCCCCTATCTCTCAGACCCAGAGGCACATATATTTCCCCCAAGGCAAAAAGACTCACCTAAGGGACACAGATCACCCTGCCATAAATGCTCTACCATGACATGTAAAGAATCCTGACACCACAGACTGTCCCCATATTATAAGGTCCTTTCCCTGGCACACAGAGTCTCTCCAGAGCACACAGACTCACTCCAGGGAACACAGATTCTCCCAAGAACACGCATATTCTCAAGGCAAAAACATTTGCCCCACAGGAACATGGACACATCTTACAGCACACAAATACTCCCCAGAGCACACAAACTCTCATCATAGAATATGGACTCTGTCCATGGCACATAGACTTCATACAGCACAAAGGTTCTCCTCACAGCACAGAGATACTCCTCACAGTACATTAGATACTTCTGACATCCAAAGATTCTCCCCACAGCACATATTTTCTCAATGCCCTACCGACTAAAACCATAGTTGAGATTTTCCTTGGAGCCCAGACTCCCCTCACATCACATTGACCTTCACCAGAGCACACAGACTCCATCCCACAGCATGTAGACTCCTTTCAAACTTGAAGAGTCATCTCATGACACAGACTCCTTTAAACATACAGACCTTCTTCAGGGCACACAGCCTCACACCCTATCACACAGACTCTCCCCACAGAACATAGACTCACCCACAACACACAGACTCATATCAGAGCACAATGACTCTCCAAAGAACACATATCCTCCTCAGAACACAGTTCATGGGACAGGCTGAAGACCCACACAAAGAGACACAAAGACTCTTCCACAACAGATGGACTTGCTCCATAATACACAGACCATTCCAAAAGGACACAAACTTGCCCTAGAGTACACAGACACTGCCCAGATCAAGCAGACTCATTTCACAACACACAGATTAAACCCACAGCACAGAACGTCTCCCCCACAACACACAGGTTCTCCCCACAACCAAAAAATTATTCCCACAGAACTCAGTGCATCCCACACACTGAGATGTCTCACAGTCCATAGACCCTTCCTACTGTGTATAGAAACACCCCTTAAACAGAAACTGTCTTCCTAGGACACAGGCCCTCCTCACCTCCTAACCCTGTCACAACAAAACACAGCCCAAATTCTTTAAACAAACTGCAGTAGACACACCTCACAATGCACATCACAGCATGCAAATTGGTCCTTTGATGGGCAGTCTTGTTGGACAACAGACACAATCTTGCCACAGTAGAACCTAATCTATCTCCAAACTGTTCAGAAATGCCCCTCAGGGCACAGGCACAGACCTGATCTATAATACCCTCACTCATCTCACAACATAGATGCAACTTATGCTGTACACATATACATACAAACTCATTCCACAGAACAACACTCCACCCTTATAATGGACAGAATTGTGTTACAACACATGCCATATAAATTCATTGCACAAAGATGATACTCCTTATGGTGAGTACACAGTGTAAACACATTTCAAAATGCCTGCAACTGTTTGCTCTACAACTTCCACATTTACCTCAAAGCACATAGACTGTGTCCCTATTCACACTGCTGCCCATAAGCAAAATATGCCTAACCATGTACAGAATTTCACCAAAATGCATAGATTCTTCCATCAACATACATGCTTGCTCCACAACACACACAAGCACCACTGAACACTGAGACTCACCCTAAATATACAGACAAACCCTTTGGGACATAGACCTGACTAGCCCCACAACATAGTCATCACCACAACACTAAAAATTCACAGGCATGACTGTAAACATAGACTTCTGTATTGCACAGAATTGTATCACAACACAGACTTACTCTAAAATGGAAGTCCTATTATGCACATAAATATTCCGTAGTGTGCAAACACATAATACGAATTACCATGCAATGCAAAGAGCACCATCATAATTTGCAGATATGCTTTATCATACTATTAAGCTACAACTCTTGCCTGCAACAAATACACAGCTTGTGTAATGGTTAAGGGTAAGGCCTCTAGACCCATACTACCTAGGTTTGAATCCAGGTTCCATTCCTTTTTTAATTGTATCACCTTGGGTAAGTATATATATATCTCTGTGCTTTAGTTTACTCATTTGTAGAACAATAATAATAGTACCTACCCCAAAGGGTTATTGTGTATTAAATTAAATAAGATATGTTAAGTACTTAGTGCAGTTCCTGGCACATATTACTGTCACCCCACCACCACCATTACTACTAAAGGGAAAAGGACCTACCTGGAATATTTAGAATCACGTGAGAGCAGAAAGATTCACCACATGATACAGAGACTAGCCCAAGAACATCTAGAAACACTCTACAGCATACAAACGCCCCACCACAACACCCACACACCATACAGAACTCAAACAGAATTCTAAACCAGATGCCACTCACAACACACTGAACTGCATCACAATTTAAAAATTTGTTAAAAATTGTACAGGCTTGCTCCATAATACACACTCATTCCACTGTGTCCAGACTGCATGCACAATATCCAGCCACATCCCATAAGACACAAGATCACAACACACAACACAGCACACACATATATACATGTACCCTATAACTCAGCAATAAGCCCTATATTATACAAATACATCCTACCACACACTAATTTTTGTCACATAATATGTGGACATATCTACTATTCACAAACATGCTCCTGAATATATAACACTTGTACCATGATAATGACTACAACACAAATACTCACTCACCCAGTAATTCAGGGGTGCCCATGATACGGACTTACCATAATAGATAGACTCATCCAAAGACATGTAGACAGAATCTACAGTACATTGACTTGCTACAAAATAGCTTAACAGGTACAGGTATACCCTATACAATGCATGGGACTGTAGTGTATATAATAAACATTCTAAATTCTCAACCTAAGGCCTTTCTCCATAAACTAAGGTTTGCTTGAGGAATACAAAGAATATTCCATAACACTTATCATATCTCCCAAGATACCTAGAGATATGTTAATATGAACAGAGAAGCTTCACAGTGTTCACCATCACATAACATGCATTCTCACTCCACAATATACAAACTCATCCTTCCCTGAAATGCTCATTGACCTCCAATGCACAGACATACCCTATAACACAAAAACACTTTTCATGAACATAAACATCCAAAATGTACAGACATACTCCACATCAACACACATACACACCGTTTACAACAACAGAGACATCCTACAATGTACCCCCAATGTAGCAATTAGCCTATGCTTTAGGAAAGATGTATGGTAATGTGGTTCCTGTGAGCATGAGCTGTTGGAGAATCCTTTATCTCATCTGGAGATCCATATAACATATACACATTTCCCACAGCAAACATGGTTCCCTGGTAACTAATAGAATTGCATCACAATCTACAAACTTCTATAAAGCACGGACCCAGACAACAATACCCAGACTCATACCATAAGGCACAGAGACATGTCATAATCTAGGTTCTAGACTCACAACAAGGAAAAATACCTTTCAAAATAAGTATTCTTGTAAACACAAAATTCTCCAACAGCTCACAGAAACACATCACCACACATCTTTCCTTTAAAGCAGAGGCTTGACATACAACTTACAGTGTTAGTCACAATAGAAAGTCTTGCCACACATTGCAAATATTAGTATCTCAATACCTACACATAGCCCACGAGGCCCCAAGATGTACCTAAAGATATGCACAGCACCCCAAAACAAAGGGTCAGTATAGATTGTGATTAAAAGCTTACACTTAGGTTTCAGTTTTCCTGGATTCTACTCCCACATGTATTATTTACTAACTAGAGGCCTGGTGCATGAA